GCAGGAAGACTGCTAACAGAGCTTGCAATTCTCGAATCAACTAATGAGGACTGTGCACAGCTTAATTAGCAAGTTCTTGATCTTCTGGACGGCGAAGAACGCGTGTACCTCCTACGGAATTCTTGAATAAAATAGAAGGTTCAAGCTTGCAACGACACCGTCTTCCTCTCAAAGTAAATGCTGTCATTTTAATTATGAGAAATATGAACACAGCAAAAGGTCTCATAAATGGCACTCGACTCAAAATCAAATCACTTCACCCCAATTTGAAGAATTATTATATTATAAATATAATATATATATTATATATATATTATAAATATTATTTGTAGGAATGTGAAGTTCTTACAGGACAGTCAGCTGGACAAGTGATTCTGTTACCTCGCATCAAACTTTCCCCGGCTGAAGGAACATTCATGTTTTCAATGACGCGGCTCCAGTTTCCTGTTCAGTTGGCCTTTGCAATGACCATCAACCGTGCTCAAGAAGTCTCAAGAAAGTTGGGATCTATCTTCCGAATCCGGTCTTCTCTCATGGACAACTGTACGTTGCAATGTCTCGATCTCGATCATTTGATGGCGTCAAAGTTTACATCACCCCGACTTCTAAGCAAAAATTCCACAAAGATAAATCCACCTGGACTAAAAACGTCGTATTCGACGAAATATTCCGTGATATTTAGTGATTTTCTTATTTTTATGTGATTGATTGTGATTGTATTAAACTAACTTTGATTGAGTTTAATTTTTGAACGTAAATGAATTAATAAATTCATTAGGCTGAGCTGGGCCGTTAGGCTGGGATATCTTACCGGAAGTAAATACTTCCGGTTTTATAATTCTGAATTCAATCAGTAAATATAAGAAAAAAGTAGACGCGGGCATATTTTAAAAATACATTGAAAATTAGGACTGTAAATTTTAAAGAATGAAACCTGTAAAATTTATATACTTTACTATAGGAAAAATTCATTTTATGGCTGCCATTTTTAAACTGGGTCGAATTTTTTAAATTTGAAACCTTAGGGGGAATCTACTCAACAATCTGTTTAATTATTCGAAAAAATTATTCTCCTATCTATCACCGTTTAGGAGGAGTATTGCGCACAAGAAAAGGGCTTAGTCTTTTAGTATATAAGATTTGACAAAATACAGGTAAAATTGGAATAATAGTATATTACTTTATGAGGCGGAGAAGCATGACTTTTCTTGACGCGTCCGATATTACGCGCCGAACGAAGTGAGGCGCCTAATAGAGGACAAGTCAAGAAAAGTCGCTTCTTTGCCGAATAAAGTATACTATTTTTTCTTCAAACGTAGCAATTTCTAACCATAAATAGTACAGTTCATACGCTATTTTTACTCGAAATTAACTGTGACAACTATCAAAGTCGTCTAGATGTTATAAATTAAAATAATTAAGTCGTCGGTGGGATTTGGGTCTCCCTGGTTGCAGTTGTGTGACAGTTGTTTGCAATTATTAAAGACAGCTTATTGTTGTTCGCAAGCCGCCAACATCGGGAATGATTGCTGAAAGTTGTTCTCGACCATCAGTATCATCAACAATTACCAATGCGTATCAAGAGTCGGGAACATTTTTGCACGGTTTCAATTTTGAAAATGCCTCATTAACTAATTGTACTTTTAATATTACTATAAATAAAAATGATGTTTAATAGTTGTTAATGACATTTGTATTGTTGCTTTGTGACATGTTTCATATTGTTGCCATGACAACATTTTTCCCTCCGCCGTAAAGAAATGGGAAAAAAACTGCTGCCGGCGGAGACATCAATCTTTGATAGGATCAAGTTAGATAAGTATTGTCATCATTATTTGACGTTTAAAGAAAAAAAAATTATTTCAGTCTAAAAGTACTTAGTTTTTTTTTAGTTTCCCAAAAGTTTGGATTTTGTCACTTACGTCCTCTAAAAAAAACTGATTCAATTTATAAGTGTATAGGTTACGACAAAAATAAATTCCAAACTTTTATCCGTAATTCTGATCATCGTAATTATCCGAAGAGGCAAAGGCAATTTATCTTCTACATTTCTTTAATATCTATCTATCTATCTATACAGCCCTTAAAATCCATCCTTGGATATAGGCCTCCTCCTCCTTCTTCCATGCCTCTCTATCTTGGGCAATTTGCATCCATTTTGACCCGGCGTGTTTCTTCAGGTCATCTGACCATCGCATTTGTGGCCTTCCCCTTTTACGTTTGTGATTCCATGGTCTCCAATGTATAATTGTTTTAGTCCATCTTTCATCTTTCTGCCTTAGGGTGTGTCCGGCGAACTTCCATTTAAGCTTTGCTACTTGGGTTGAGACATCTTTCACTTTTGTTTTATTACGGATCCATTCGTTTCTTTTTTTGTCTGATAGTTTAATGTTCAGCATTTGTCTTTCCATGGATCTTTCGATCTTTGCTATTTTATCCATATTTTCCTTTGTAAACGTCCATGTCTGAGAGCCATATGTGAGGACAGGGAGTATACATTGATTGAAGACTCTCGTTTTTAAGTATTGGGGGTATTTTGAATTCTTTAGAATATAAGACAGTTTTCCGAATGATGCCCAGGCCAATCTTATTCTTCTCTTTATTTCTTCGGTCTGATTTTCTTTATTTAATTTAGTGATTTGGCCTAGATATATATACTCTTTTACTTGTTCTATTTTTGTTTGTGCCACTGTAATCATAAGTTCTTCTGGTTGATTAGTCATGGTTTTTGTTTTACTATAATTCATCTTGAGTCCAATTTTTGTCGATTCTCTATCTAGTTCTTCCATCATTCTTTGCAATTCTTCACTTTTTTCTGTTATTAATACAATATCATCAGCATATCGTAAATGATTCAGATTTTGCCCGTTTATATTAATTCCCAAGTCATCCCGTTTATATTAATTCTTTAATATATGAAATAATATTTTAAAATTTGCCATATAGCTTTTTCATTACGCATCTTTGCTCAAAACGTATATACATAGCTACTTTTTTATATATTACATTGCACTCTAATGTTTTAATGCATATTTCGTAGAGCCTGATTTTCACATTAGTATTTTCCACTCTCTCCCACGCTTTAAATCATATGTTACCCACGTAAAAATACCCCAGTAACGGTCTTCACCATTTCGTGTTTGCGCAGAAAAATAACTAAGTAAATCCATATCAGAAATTTGATTACAGCATAAATGATATCGAATGGGATTGATAAGGCCGTTTGGCAGTCAGGTCACGTAAATATATCGCGCGGTACGGTTATTTATACACGCATTTTTTCCTATACATGCCAAAAAATCCTATTTTTCTGATGAGATCTTCGAAACAACGTCAAGATGTTTTTATAAAAAAAGAAATTTAGAAGGATTGTCATTGTATTGGAGAAATGCGAGCGAGGATAACTGAGTAATATTTTTTGACCGTAGGACCAGGGTTTGATAAACAGTAAGTTAGAATTAATCATGTTCTCTTAACAGATCATAATATAAGTGAAATACTGGAATAAGTGTTACCCGCCACCCCTCCTATCAACGTATTTATATATTTTAGCACGTTAGTAAAAACCTCGGGCAAGTTGAGTTTTAAAATAATCTTAGCACATTATAAATAAGTATTCATTAAATCTCGCATCATAAAGGTTGTGTGTTTCCGTGTCTGCTAATTATCATTTGATAATTAAGTAAAAAATAGATAAGTGATAAAAACTGATAAAATAAACCCAAATTACTTTTAAATTGTTTATAGTCCGGGCGCTTGGTTAGAAATAATGAAGGACACCTAGTGATTGCTAGGATTGTTGGTTCTCGCTAAAATGATTTAACAAAATGCGGGTTCGCTAACATCTAAGGGCGAGCGCCCACCAAAGTGACGTGGCACGTGGCACGTAGCAAGTAGCATGCGTCTAGCATGTTACATAAAATGTAACCAATGCAAACGAATGATTAGATCGAATGACGTCACTGTCATTTTGGTGTGTGGAGAATCATTCGTTTTCATTGGTTATGAATTATGCTGTACACGGCATGGAAACAGACGGAAATGAAGAAGATTTACGCCACGAATAGAGTAAATCAGCTCCAACTCCAGTTGGATAACTTACAAAAATTTAATGAAAGCTTGCAATTAAAATTTGCAGATCTAGAGAAAAACTTGTCTAAAGAGAAAAAACCTAAGAATGAGAAATTTCATACTGACGATGAGGAATTAGCTGAGGAGACAGAGTGGATACGTGTCAAAAACTTCAAAAAATAGAATATATCCAACAAAGAGAAGAAAAAACTAGAAAAACACAAATCCCACCTACAGTAATTGTGGAGAGTATTGCCGAATTTAGACAATTTCATGAATAAGTTAGACTACATAATGCTAAATTCCAAATAAAAGTACTTGGAGACAAGAGCGCTAAAATTAATGTCGATAGTGAAGAAGACTTTAGAAAATTAAGACTAACTATAGAGGATGTACCGTGGCAAAGGACATACAAAAAATAAAAGATAAATATAACAAGAAACAGACCTTACCCAGACAACCACAAAGAATGCATTTAAAACATGTAGAAAATCCAAAACAAGAAGAAAACAAAACAAGAACTTATAGCATGGTAACAGTTGGTAAAAGTAACGAAGAAAACTATAGTAGTCAAAATCATCTGAAAATAGAACAAGTACTACAGAAAATATTAGAGAGGATTTTCCCCCTTAAAAAATATGTTAAATATTAAGTAGAAGCATAAAACGATGTAATAAAATTATATATAAACTTATAAATAACACGTCTTGTAAAAAAGAGGAATGTTGATAACAAAACTAAAATTTTTGAAAAGTTTCCAGAATTTTGGCTACTAGTGTACAAATAAGAGTAAGGCAAATCTCTGGCCTATGATTGTTTTTTATAATATGCTGGATATTTTTACCTACAAGGCGTTCATTTTATGGACATCAATAAATACCCAATGGAACATCAACAAACTTACAAAACGGCGAATTTTTCTTGAGGAATTAGGAAAACACTATCCTTTGCAGGAAAAATTTTCCAAGAACTAAAGACTCACAAGAACCATCTATGGACAATCCAACTCCACCTGCTAAACAAGCACGCTGTAAATTTTGCTCTAAAAACGATAATAATAAGACTTATATGTTATGTTGTATACATGAACGTATAAATGTTGCATATGTCACAAAACATATTTGTAAAACCCATTTTTTAATTACTGTTCCAATTGTAAACTAAATTAAATTTTGTAGGTATTTGTTCCTAGGCTTTTCTGGGAAACACAAAATTCTTTTTATTTTATTTTTTTTTATTATTTAAACATACAAAACCCACATCAACCACCAAGGGTTATTAGTGGGGGGACATACACAGTAGTACAGTTTGTTAAATTAAAGTTTATTATAAATGTTTATGTCTTTTAGAAACTGCAATAAATCCGAGACATTTGTTGTAAGCGCACTTCTCAGGTTTCCACTAATTCCTCGGCATGTTCTCTGAGGTTGGAACTGCGGATAGTCGACTATCAGATGCTTCACCGTGAGTTGAGTAGAGCAGTAGGTACAAATTGGAGCTGGTTCTTTATTTAGAAGGTGTTGGTGTGTTAGTATTGTGTGGCCGATTCGAAGACGATTTACGATTACTTGATCTCTTCTTTTTCCTTGTTGTGGTAGGCTAGAGTCTACTCGAGGCTTTATTGTTTTCAACTTAGAGTCTGTTGCACCCCAGGTTGCTTGCCATAAATTTATTATATGATTCATGGACTTTCGTTTATGGTCGGTGTGAGAATATTTAGTAATTTCTGGAACATTTTCATTTTTGATGGATTTTAATGCTAATTGATTAACTTCCTCGTTGCCTTTAATGCCAATGTGGGAAGGTATCCAGATAAATGTAACCTTTTTATTTATATGGTGTAGTGCATTAAGTTCATTTCTTATGTTTTGTGCAATAGGATGGCTAGGGTAAAGTTGATCAATTCCATGAATTGTGCTGAGTGAATCTGTGATGATTAAAATATTATTTTCAGTCGTTGAAGATGATTTCTTGATAGCTTCTAATATCGCTGTGATTTCTCCGGTGTAAATGCTGCAATGCTGTGGAATTCTAATGGCATATTTGTAATTTTTATTTGTGAAGGATGCAGCATGGCCACTTTCAGTTTTTGATGCATCTGTGTATATTATGTGGTGATTTGGATACTTCTCCATAATTTCTTTGAATAAGTTAATGATAAGGTTAGGATTTGTGGTATTTTTTGGGTACTGTGTTAAAGTTAAATCGGTGATAGGTAAGGGGGTAAGCCATGGAGGAAAGTCTAATTTTGTAGTTATGGATAATTTAAATTTATTGCAATTGAATCCTTTTTGATTGATTCTTTCCCTAAAGGGTTTGTTTCTATACAAATTGGATGTAGGTGCGTTAATAATCTCAGAATATAATGGGTGCTTTTTATTGGAAGATATTCTTGCTGCATAATTTAAACTAAGTAGATGTCGTCTTAGATGTAGAGGGGGTTCTCTTGATATTACTTGTAAGCTGCTTACAGGACTGGTTCTGAAGGCACCGACGGCTAATCTTAGAGCTGTTGTTTGAATTGTGTTAAGGTTTTTTGCGTTTTATTTGCTGTATCGTAGCATATTGCACCGTAGTCTAGTTTACTGCGAATAATTTATTTGTAGAGGGGAAGCAGAATACTAGAATCAGCTCCCCATATATTATTGGATAGAATTTTCAGCAAGTTTATTCTATTTTGACAAGTTAGTTGTAAAGTCGTAATGTGTGTTTTCCAGTTTAATTTCTGATCAAACGTTAGACCCAAAAAATTCGATTCCTCTGAATGAGATATATTTTGACCGTTAAATATTAATGAAACAGGAATGGTATTCTTGCGTTTGCTGAAAACTGTGTAATGTGTCTTATTAGTTGAAAAGAGGAAGCCTGTTTTGGAAGACCATTCTTCGATTTTGTATAGAAGGTTCTGTAGTATTTTAGCCCCAGATGTAATATTTTTGCATTTAATATACACAACTAAATCATCAGCGTATAAGTTTGCTTTTATAGGAGGCTTAATTGTGTTAATTACATCGTTAAATGCAATTAAAAATAAAGTTGAGCTTAAAATAGAACCTTGTGGAACACCGTTGTCGAGTATTCTAGTGGTAGAGGTGTATCCATTTACTCTTACTTGTATTTCCCTTTTATTCAGAAAGTTTTTTTATAAACGCATGCATATGTCATTGAATTCCCCATTTATCAAGTTTATTTAATATGAGGTATCTCCATGTTGTGTCAAAAGCTTTATTCACATCAAAAAAGACTGCTATAACTTTCTGATCTAGTAAGAATGCATAATAAATGGTTGACTCAAGTGCTACTAAGTTGTCGTTAGCAGATCTTCCTCGTCGAAAACCACTTTGAACTGTGGTCAGGAGATTTTCATTTTCTAGATACCATGTAAGCCTGTAATTTAAAATCTTCTCGAGAAGTTTACACATGCTACAGGTGAGGGAAATGGTACGGTAAGATGTGGGACAATCTTTTGGATTGTGTTGTTTATAAATTGGGATTATAATAGCTTTGGTCCAATTATCAGGAAAGTAATGATTTAAAAAGATGTGATTAAAGATGTCTAAAAGTATCTTTTTGCATTTTTGGGGTAGATTTTTTAAAAATATCGATGGAATATCATCAGGACCTGAAGATGTGGTTTTTAAGTTTAAAAGAGAAAAATCTAATTCTTGCAAAGTTATGGGTACAGTTATGGGAGAGATCTGGTTGCGAATTTTGATGTCTACAAATTCTGTGGTAGTCTTATGTGTAGAAAAGATCGGATCTAGTATAGAATTGCTAGAGTTTTTTTGAAATACGTCTACTAGAATTTCAGGAATTTCGTTTCTGCAAGAGATGATTTGGTTGTTATATGAAAGTGCATTTATTGAATAAGGTAAACTTGATCCTTTTATTTTCTTTATTTTGTTCCAGCTTTTTATTTTTGTTAATAAGGTTTAATTTACATTAGCAATATAATTTTTGTTTAATTAACTATACTTTTTGGTTAATAAAGTTTTGTTTAGCGCCATTAGCTTAATTTATTTCAATTAAGGACCGTAAACCATAGCTGGGTCATATTGACCAGAACAGTACATTTGCATAGTTGACTCGAACGGTACAGCAAGCTTAATGTTAGTAGTATTAACCTCTAATATGTACACGGAATAACTTAACAAATATCTACTTATTATGCATTACAACAGAACAAAATCAACGCTACACACTTGTATGTATATATGCTTGAACACGTAAGCCTATATGGATGAAAATCAATTACGAAATACAACATTATATAATTATTTGTATATTGTTGTGTTTGTCCTTCAATAGCAAATAAATAAATTAAATAGCGGGTGATCCTTACAAAGTAAAAATATACTTCAATGATTTAGCGATTTTAACATGCGAGCTTCTGATTTCTTATCATCTTTAGGAATTTCTCATATGACGCTTTTTTTTGTGGTTTTTATGTTCTCCGAGGTGTTCCATTTTCCAGTTTCTGCTTCTCTCTGTCTTACCACAAGTTGAATATATTTCTCTTTCTTTGAGCTTTCTGTCCAATGTAGTCTAGGTCTTCCTCTCTGCCTGCCTTTTACCTTGTTGTATCAAATCTAGTATTTATTTAGTTAAATTTAGATATCGGGTTACCAGGAAAAATGCAGAGAAAAAAAAAACAAAATAGTACGGGCAGTAATACAGTCTGGTGGAACAACGGCTTAAAGAAGATGAGGCCGAAAGTGCGAAGCCTATTTAACAAAGCCAAAAGTAACCAAGACTGGAATGCCTACAGGTATAAGCTAACGCTATACAATAAAGACATTCGGAAAGCTAAAAGGAATTCATAGAGAGAGATTTGCCAGATTACAGATATTCCGGCATGTTCTCGAATTTATAAAGTCTTAGCAAAGAATAGTGCTACAACTAAATAGGTAGGTTTTCTAAAGAAAGCTAATGACAAACTTAAGGACTAGTGCAAGGCCTACAGATTGGGAAATAGCCACAGTAATCACCAGACCAAACAGAATTAGATGGGCTATAAATAAGTTTCGGCCATATAAGTCTCCAGAGATAGATTACATATATCCAATACTGTTGCATATGGGATTAGAGGTAATAATACAACACCTATATAAGCTTTTCTAAGCCAGTTTGGCATGGGGAGTCGTACCGGAAATATGGCAAAAGGTTAAAGTCATATACTTGCCTAAGGTAGGTAAAGTATCAGATCTATGACCAAAGTCATATAGAAAGATAAGCCTATCTTCATTTATATATAAAAACGCTGGAAAGACTTCTTGATAGGTACATCAGAGACGACGTGCTAAAAGATATTCCTTAAGCTGCGTTGGATAATCTAAATAGACTTATCTCGAGGTCAATGGAAGACCAAGAGATAGCAATGGCCACTTTTTTTAGATAATCCTCTTCTTCAGCCTTAAGTTATTAAGTAGTTTAACTTTGGACATATCACAAATCAATCCAGTGTTTTCTTTGTGATTCTTTTATTTGTTTATTCAATTCTTTGAAATCATTGGTGTTTGGTTTTCCTTCGCTTAGAAATGTGCGTCTCTTCTCCTTCAAACGTTTTGTTCCATCACTTATTCTGTCTTCCTTATTTTAATTTTCTATGCAACAGTCAGTCCTGCTTTCAAGAGCTTTCGTTGCATTTTTTTATTAATTGTGTTCATGTCAGAAGATTCTTGTTGATAATATCCTACAAATTCTTTTTTTAAGACTTCTCTGTACTCATCTCCCTTCTGTCGTATTTTAGTTTGATCTATCTGATTATAATAATTATATGGCCTGTTTCTACTAGTTTCCAATGGTCTTTTAAACAAGAATACTTGCTTTTAAAGGGCGATGATCGCTGCCAGTTGTGAATTGGGATATAGAACGATATATTTTTAGATATACAAGGGGCATTTCATAAAGTTACTACCAGCTCTTCAATTAAATCTATGAGTAGACGAGGCGCACCTGCGGTAATATGCAGATAGATAAGGGCATCCGGGGAGAATGAAACAGCATTATCTACTCTCGGTAAAGCAACCATCGCAGAAACTA